TATATACTAGGACAACTATAGCAGAGAGACTGGTAATGCTGGTCTCACAAGGATTGCTAATATGATTGGTAAGAATAGTATTAGTAAGACATGACAAAGCTGGCCAGAGACCAGGACAAAGATGAGGGAAGACTGGGGATGAGGCCAAGTCAGGCTCAAGCAAAATGACACTTCATAACAGCACTGCAAAGCAGTGCTAACCATGCTAGACCACTTGGAGATACAGGTTTGGTGAGGCTGAGGCTGGACTGAGTGAGTGTGAGGCCAAGTCTGGCTGGGGTCAAGGCATGGCTATAACATTGTCCCTGAACTCAATCAAGCAGAAAACAATTTGATGGGTGCCATAGATGACCTTCATGCAAGAAAGCATATACAAGGAACAAGACTGACACTTGAGGAACTTCTAACCTGGTTGAGGAGAGGGAGGTTGGGTATTCTCCATACCATTACCAAGGGAGTGATGCAGATATTGTGGCAGAAGTGAAACAGGGCTGTGAGGTGCAGAGTGAGGAAAGCAATGGTGACAGCAAGCATAACAGAGATGAATGTGGAAATGCCAAAGATGGCAACCAGGTAACACTGCAGCAAGGCATCAGACTATGTCTTGAACTTGAGAAGTTATGCTTACAGCATGCCAATATCAATGGCCTGGATATCCATGGATTACAGAGTCAGCTTCAGAAACTGCATGCACATCTGTGCAAGGTCCAGTTTCAATCTCACACACAAGTGAAAATCTCCTACACCATAGCTCAATTATCTTCATGATTTCTTTCCTTTTGTCTCATTCTCACTCATCTCAGCTAGGAACTTAATACAATCATGTGAGGAATATAATTAAGTATGTGTCAAGCAAGCAACCTCCACTTGTCAGTGGTTGGTATGATAGTTGTCACATCTGTCACACTATGTGTGACAACATTGTCATGCATAGAATTTCATAGTATGTGGGTTAATTTGGGGGCCAACATCATGCATTATGAGAGAGCCCACTGTATCTCCCTCCTTGACCACTGACTCCTATCAGACTGAGAGGAACTGGTCTTAACAACACCTCTCTACAGCTACATTACTAAATCAGATGACTCAGGCACCATGCTGTAGCCAGGAACCACTGCTACAATCCGGCCCACCAAATGCACTATATTACACTCCCCCAAAAACAGCCAAACATTACAATTAGGGGTCAACACAGATACACCCACAGGTCTAGACAGCAGAAGCTTTGAGGTCAGCAGACAGTGGGCACAATATGGGGACAATCAATGAATGTTAAACAATAAAATGATCAAACAAACAGCCACATGCATTCATATGTATTTAGGGTCCTCATATGTACTAGGGGATAGGGCCATCAGGGATGGCAGGTACCTTGTTTATGGACATGACTTAGGTTCCTGTAAATTACAGCTACTAGTCAATATTTGTACCAGTCTCACTTTTCCATCATAGCACTGCCCTAGTTTCCACTCCTTTCTGTCTGAGTCAGCATGCTTGCTCATGCTCCAAATGCTACTTGTCACCCATCTTTGCCTTGAGTCCATTGACCCATTAGATGCCAACAATTCATCACCAACATGATTTGATTCCTAGGTGTTTTTGGTATGAAAAATCTAAATCTCCTCACTTCCAATGAAGCAGCAATTGGAGAGATGGCCCCTTCAGGTAATGAGTGCACATACAAGGACAAAAGTATCATGTACTCACATGTCATTGTTGAACATGAAGTAGCCATCCAGAAAGGCAGGATATGCACTGCAAATGTAGCCACCCAGTAACCACCACCCAGTAACCACATGACATTGATACATAACACCCAAGCATTTGAAGACATCAGTGGACTTCATGAGATCATGATGGAGATCAGTCATTTGAAGCCATAGACAGCTGCTGTCAGTCAAAGTGTGAGGCATGGACCTGCAATTATATGGCAAATGATGAAACTCTTCACATCTGCCAAACTCAAAACCACATGACACATATTTCTGCAGTGCAACCATGGTCTTGAAGCCAATTAAGCCATAATAAACAGGATGTGGGTTGATTAGTGCATGGCAATGGAACATTGTCACACACCAAAGGTATTGTGGACATGGTTACAGCTGACTCTGCCTAACTCATCAACAAGTTGCACACAGTGCCATGAATGGAGAAAGACTAAAGCCCCCATGCATAGAAGGACTGCTGGACATTAGCAGTCATCATTTGCACAAGAATGAGTTGTCAGTGCTAGAGAGAAAAGAGGAGGTGAGTTAAGCATCTGCCAAAAGTTTTTAGCACCTGTGTATGGCATTCCAGTTTTTGTCATGTCTACACCATGTCCAAAGATATCAACTCCATTCCCCACACTTGCTTATAGTGCTCAGCCACATAATCCTGCCTTCTGGGTTTGGAAAGGATCCTCTCACCCTACATGTTTCTACAACACTCCATCCATCAGATGCTCTTTGTACTAAGTCCATCAGATATGGCTGCATCTACATTGATCATCTCACTTGTCTCTTTTGCCAGAGACAGTGGTTATGTATATCTGCCAGGCATTCCCACCAGCTTCCATCCTGAAGCCCTCAGGTACATTCCATCATCATCAGCCCTGTCTCATCCCATGCAGCTTGGTCAGCATGTTCTCCTTTTCAGTATGACTTCCAGAAGGACATTCTTTGGTTGCCTCAGGTCCATCACTCAGTTGGAAAGGTCTTATGTGATCGTTTCAGTCTCCCCACTTGATGAAGCATATGGATCCTTCCTCCCTGCTCCCTGCAACATCTTTATTCCAATCTCATCCATCATCCTCCCCACATTGCAACAGCTGCAGTATAATCTGCTGTTCTCTTCCCTCCCTGATTGCATCCATGATGAGTATGATGCACATCTTGCCTTTTTACTGCAAGATCCAGCAGGAGACACCCCCCCTTCTTCCCCTCCCCCATCAGAGTCTTGTTCATGAAGTGTTTATTAACTTTGCTGGGAGGATGAATGGGTGGGAGACATAACCCCAAACATGCAGTGCCCCCTATGATTGAGACATGTCATCAACTTGATCAGCAAAGGGGTCTCCCCCCATGATCAGACAGTTGCAGCAGGAAAACTCACCAGATTTAACCTTGTTCAATGCATAAGCTGCCATGGCAGGCATGCCACTTCCATGCCACATGGTTACCATGAAAACAAGCAGGGAGTGTGGACCACAAATTATGGCATACATTGCAGAACATGGCATGTTTAGGCTTGTCTGTATTCAATGGTCATGTACATGAGCATCCAATATTCCTACATACATAATGACTTGCACACAATCTCTCCCCTCCTATGACATTTAATACAATGATAATCATTTTAGGTGAGATTCCCCAAACAGTGAAAGACAGTGACTCTTATGGACACATTATGTGCTGTTAAGCCTGAAAGATGTATGAGCTGTTGATGGTGAATGTGATGGACATGTCAAGCATACCTGGCATAATAATGCTTGGTAAGTAATGAGTAAGGACTGTAAGCAATGAGTAATCATGAGTAAGTGAGAAGTGAAAAGTAAGCAAGCAGATTGGATTGGTAAGTATTGCCAATAAACAAGTCAAGGACAGTCAAAATATCACAGTATGAGTCAAAGAATGACAGAAACTGAGTAAGCACACTGGTATCACATTAGGGGGTAGCAATGCATGTCAGATCTTGGCAGAGACATCACTGGATCAAAGATGGAATGACAGATGGATGGTGTTTCCAGATGGGGAAGTATTAAATCCAGAAATGGATGGCATGAGTCAGGCATTAAAGGGCTAGGGTGTTGGGGGTCTGTGGGGTAATGGGAGCATAGGCAATCACATCTCTTACCCATTTGTCCTCTCAGTGAAGTTAATAAAACACTCCATGAACAAAGCTCTGATGAAGGAGAGGGAGAGGGGGGGACATCTTCTGCTGAGTCTTGCAGTAAGAAGGCAAGATGCATGTCATACTCATCATGGATGTGATCAGGGAGACTGAAAAACAGCAGATTGTACTACAACTGTCACAACATGGGAAGAATGATGGATGAGATTGGAATAAAGATGTTGCAGGGAGCAGGGAGGAAGGATCCATATGCTTCATCAAGTGGGGAGACTGAAATAACCACATAAGACCTTTCCAACTGAGTGACAGACCTGAGGCAACCAAAGAATGTCCTTCTGGAAGTCATACTGACAAGGAGAACACACTGACCAAGCTGCATGGGATGAGATGGGGCTGAAGATGATGGGATGAACCAGGGGGCTTCAGGACAGAAGCTAGTAGGAATTCCTGGCAGATATACATAGCCACTGTCTCTGGCAAAAGAGACAAGTGAGATGATCAACATAGAAGCAGCCATATCTGATGGACTTGGCAAAATGAACATCTGGTGGATGGAGTGCCATAGAAATGCATAGGAGTGTGAGGATCCTTTCCAAACTTGGAAGGCAGGATCATGTGACTGAGCACCCTAAGTGAGTGTGGGAACAGTGTCAATGTCTTTGGAAATGGTGGAGATATGATGAAAACTGGAATGTCATACACAGGCACTAAAAACTGTTGATAGGTGCTTAACTCACTTCCTCTTTTCTCTCTAGCACTGACAACTCATTCTCATGCAAAGGATGAGTGCTAATGTCCAGCAGTCCTCCCATGTATGAGGGTTTTAGTCTTCATCTCCATTCATGGCACTGTACCCAACTTGTCAACAAGTTAGGCAGAGTCAACTGTAACCTTGTCCACAACACCTTTGGTGTGTGATGCCAGCAGGGGACAAACCACATGTGTCATTACTGCACAGTCCAAGGCCATCCTTGTCCATTCTTGAACAGGCCAATCCACTGTTCAGGCCTCTGTCATATGTCAGTTGACTCAGAAGCTGATAAAATACAACTACATACCATCAAGGCTGGCATTGTCTGGATTCACACTGTCATCTTTCTTCATGAACAATGAGTGGCTGACTTGGATAGAGGCAACACCATTGGCCTCATGGATGCAAGAAACCAAGGTCATCCCCTTCTTGGAGGGATTAGTCTTTTGAGAGTCCTGACATTCCCCACAATCACAGGGAAATCTGCACAAGCTGTCTTAAAGGCAGTGTCTCTCTGAACAGCAATAAGTTGACAGCTAAGTTTGGTTTCCAAAAACTCCCACTTGAAAGCAGCTGATGGCATGTATGCTCCCTCAGGCCCCATGGAAAAGTTTTGACAATCAACTTGAAAGATGCCACTGATAAGCAGTTCCATGGTTTCATCACTGCTGTCTTTCATGACTGTGATGTTGCCAGAAAAACCACCTTGGAAAAATTCAGCACAAGAAGTGAGTTGCACTGTGGTGCCATAGAATGTGAGAATGTTGGTTTTTAGCATGCTTATGATGTCATCAATCTTGTTGGAGTCATCCTGAGCTGTTTCCTCAGTTGTGGAGGAAGATATGGTAGATTCTGCCACTGTTGTGGAAATCATTGCTAGCATGCTTAGTGGCAGGGGATAGACTATCAGCACTCTCCACCTCTGTAGCATAACTGTCAGTAGGGCATACCACAGATGACCCACAAAGTAGACAAAACAACTAACCAGTAGTAGCCAATGATGTCTTCTGTTTTTCCTTAGGTGCACATGGAGCTGTTGGAGCTTATCACCTTTACCTTAGTTGTGGTTCACCAAGCACAGCATTACATAATCCAAAAGCGGACACTTAGCAGTTTATTTTTCCTTACTGCACCTCAGCTTCAACCAACTTGAAGTCTGAGGTGAGACTCATTCCATTCATTATATTGGAACACTTACTTACCTACCTACAATATATTCCTTTCTATAGACCTCCAAAAGGAGTCATGGTGATTTGAGCAGATGGGTTGTAATGGAGTCCCTTAAATGACAATGCCATGTTAAACTTGGCAGAAAAGGGGACAGAATAGGAGGGCCATGCTGATTGAATATGGTAGCCTGTCAGAGTCATGGGAAACACACTGGCAGACCTCATCAAGTGCAGACCACAGGAGATATTTGGGGACATCTCACCCAGCAAGAAGTTTATGATAGTGTTCCACCTGGCTCACTGCTGTATGGACTTCAAACCCAGACACAGCTCTGGTCTATAATAAGTCAATGACTGCCAGAGGTGCAAGAACATATATGCATGGTTGCTGCAGCAAAGGAGTGAAGCAAGAAAGAGTGAAAATGGGATGTCAACAGGCTCTTATCAAGCAAAATGGTGAGCATTAATGCAGTGTAGGGAATGTAATTTCCCTACTAGGTGAATTTGTTTGTTTTGTTTGTTTTGTTTTGTTTTCACTCTAGCTACTTTTCTGCTGGTTGTACTTAGTTTCGCTTTTTTTTTGCTTAGTCAGCTCTACCTGTTACTTGGGTAGTTGGTTTTTCTTACAACAATAGACAACTTACCACAGGTGAGAGTCAAGGTCAAGTAGGTCATTTCCCTGCACCCAGACAGCCCCAAAGTCCTCAGACATCATATCAATCCAGTCCCAGGCTATAGAAGCCCCCTTGGTCCTACTTGTTCCCTCAGACACACTCCTCACTCACTCAACACCCTCACTCAGCTTTTCTGATTCTCTTCAGAAGATCAAACATTCCAAGCAAGAGGACAGCAAACCCATCCACCCAATCCATTCAGACTTGGCATGTGCAAGGATGAGTACCTGAAGTTGCCATCAGAGAAAGATGTATGTAGGCATGTGGTGGCTTTCATCCAGGGGACAGGGAATGCCACATTATGATGAGGTGAATGTGTTGTGTGTGTGCACAAGCTGATGATCAGTGAAGGTTAGCAGATGCATTCATGATCATGACATCACTTTTCACAGGTAAAGAGGAGCTTATAGAAAACATACCAAACATTCAAGTCCACCTTAAACCAGAAATTGCACATCACATTGTGCACATGAGTTATGGCAGGGTCTTTTGCTGTTAAAACACCATGTGAATGGCTCTGGGAAGGGATGGGTATACTGGGAATGCTACCAGGCACTGAGAGCCAACAAAATACTGAGGCTTGCATTGAACATAATATGTGGTTGGGAGACCCACCACTGGAACTTCACAGACTGACATTTGCAGAAACACTTTTGGTTGCCTGGCATTATCCACACTGCTGTGTTCAAGTTATACCTGAAAGACAGCCATGGATACAACCCAGCTCACCTTCAGCAAGCCATGGCCAGCAATGTGACCTTGTATGAGGTCAATACAATGGTGATAGCAAGCATGCTGGAAGGAAGTATGATGCCACAGCATGTGGCAGCACTTAGTAGTGTATTGGCAACAACATTCATAGGAACCAGAATGCTGCTGCAGAATTGGTTGTCATGCACTTTTTGCATGCACTGGGAAGACCATTCATGAGGCATTACAATGGCTGAAAGAAAACAATCCCCTTTACCATGATATTACCATTTTGGAACAGTATTTGATGACTCTACCTGACAATGAAATACCAGAGGAAATAGAGGCCCTCATTTGACATGAAGATGATGCTCTGATCACTTTGCAAGAAAGGGATGGTCACATGCAGGATGCCATACTGGATAAAATTCATCAGTCATTCAAAGTATGAAGAATACCTACCATTGGTGACATGCTCAGTGGTTAATGATGAAGATGACCCCAATGAGGAAGTGGAGGCCATGAATGGTGATCTGCCTTGTGCTGATAGTGATGACCTAATAAACAATGAAGGTTAGATGTTCCATGCACAGTGTATACATTTCAGCAGCAACTGAATGAAAACAACATCAAAGCAGATGTTGTACCACTGCACACACTTGGCATCACTGCCAGTCATCTCAGCCATGTTTCCTCCTCAGAACTCATGAGCTATGCACTTGCCAACTGCCAACCTAATGGATGTGACACAGGAAGGTGGTTATGTGGTGCAGCACAGTCTGAAGCCCATAGGAGACTTTGGCAAGGATGCCACAGAAAGAGGGATGCCCAATCCACTCACCACCATATTCTCATGCCTGTTCCCCCACAGACATGGTGGTATAGAGGCCAACCATGCAGTGAATGTCAGCCTTTGAAAACATGCAAGGTGGGCCATGCAGTATTATGGCCACCAGTTTGTCATCCATCACACATTCCCTTTCATGATTTTCACCATGATCCAAAGGTGGGACATGATGCACTCAGCTCATTTCCAGATGCAGAGAATAGGTTTCAAACATGATTCCCTAGCATTGTCTTGTTTGACCATCATAGAGTTGAAGAAGGGTAAGGAAGAAGAAGCAAGGAAAACCATGATTAGCAACCCATGGGTACAAGCATTGCACAAACATGTTGTCACAGAAAACAGTAAAGCCAAAGGGTCTGACAATGCTCATGCTCAGTATCACAGTATGATGTGGGGATCATGTCTTTTCCTGGGAGGACCTATGATATGGATGATGATCAACCCTGCAGATATACATGATCCAATTGCTCAAGTGTTGGCCAGAGAGACTATCAATCTTAACAAATTTGATGCTCTCAGAGGACCTGACAGCTATCAGTGTGATTAATATTGCAAGCAATCCTTATGCAGCTGCAAAGTTTTACAATTTCTTGATTGAGACCATGTTGGAGACTTTGCTGGGAATCACCAAGCAGGCATCACAATGTTGTAGCAACATGGGTATCCTTGGGCTACTGTCTGGTTATTTCATTGTGGTAGAGGTGCAGGGGAGAGGAACCCTACATGTGCATATGTTGCTGTGGTTGGCTGGTACATTGGATACAGCTGAAATGAAATGGCTGCTGCAAACACCTACCTTTTGTGAGAAAATTCAAGAGCACATTCAGGTCAACATACATGCCCATCTAGATGATGTTACAGAGCAAGATTTGAAGTTGACTCCATGAAACTCTCAAGTAGTGTATTTGTGGCCACCTGATCCTGGACAGGAGGATTGGGTTAAACAAACCCATTTGCTCAAGAAACAGCTGCTGCAATCCCAACAGCTCACATGTGCTCTCAAGCAACTTGTTTTCATGTTCACATCAACAGTGTTGTGCACCATGGCCCCTTAGTGAAGATGTTTATGTTGATGAAAGGGGAAACTGGAAGCCAAAGAGGACTTTAACATATATCAATAACTACTGTCCATTAATACTGTAATGCAACAATGACATCAAGATTAACCCCAATGGCAAAGATACCAAAAATGTGATTTTTTATGTTACTGCCTATGCCATGAAGAAACAAAAGAAGTCACACAACCTGTCTGCACTAATGGCATCAGCCTTGACATACCACAAGAATGACCCACATGAGGACATTCATGAGTGAAACCAACTGCTACTCTACCACTGCGTTGACATCATCAATCATGAAGCAGAATTGTCAGGACCTGCAAGTGGTCTCTTATATCATGGGGTATGGCAATACATTGAGGTCCTACAGCTATGCACCACTGTACACAAGTGCATTGTTCACAGCCATTAGACAAATGTTTCCTGGCCTTCCAACAACAACAAGTCTCATGTCAGTATGAAGCAATCTCTGATTGTGTGGCAGCTGTTCATCTGGATCTGAACAAAATGTGATGGGGAGCATGGATGATGACAAGAATGACCACAACAGTGAGAATGTTCAACTCACCAAGGGTTGCACAGACAGAGATGTATAGTGGCTCAAAAAACTGTCTGCATGTTTGTATGTTTTACATTAGTTATGACTAAACACAATAACCCCTAATCCTAGCCCTAAACCATGAGTGTATGAAATAAGGTACTTACTCTTGGCTTTCTATTGGTCATTGAATCAAGTGATTTGGATAGGAATTGATAGAATAGCAGCCATTTGAAAATGACATGTCATGTGGACAGTTTTTTGACTTAAAGTTTTGATTACATAGTTTTGAGTTTAACAAAGTTTAAAATGCTGTGAGGTGCTTACTAATGCTTACATGGTATATCACATGGTCTATTTGATGATTTGTCATCATACAAACAATGCCAAACAATGAGTTGGGTCCATCAAGGCACCCTCTTCTACCCCAACTCATGAAACCATCCTCCTGGTCCATCTGGGCCATTTTCTCAGAGTAATCCCCATAAATATTGGTGCCCACTACAGTAATGTCATTAGGGTATATGTCCAACACAATCAAACCCTTGAAAAATCTGCTTTTAGTCATCCCTGTGCTGTTTACCCCACCCATACCTGATTTGTTCTGCAACTAATCAGTACTGAGAATGCTGGAAATGCCATGGAGGTCAATCCAGCACATCAGGAAATGATGAACAAACAAAACATCTTTTAACCAGTGCATTTTCACCACAGTGCAACTAGTTTCAATGCTGGGGTGAGACAAAACATTCCTGTGCACTTCAGGTGGCATGGGAAGCATGGCTAGACTGTGCTCTCAGCTGACTGTGGATGACTGAGAATGGGTGATTTGGTTATATAGGACCATAGGTAATACTCAGGGCTAGATGGAGTGATGGAATCTCCCTCCTAATAGTTCAGTGGACTATCCCCCCAGGGCACCTGGACTGTAATGTGAGTTTTAGTCCACCCTAGC